AAAGAGGAGGGGGGGGGGGGGGGGGGGGGGGGGGGGTAATAATGCTTTCACAGCATCTTCCAGCACTTTTCACTGGTGAAAGAGAAGAAGAAAACCTTTCAGAATAGCCAGTAATCAAAATAAATTCCTACATTGATCTTGCATGAGCTCGGAGCTTGACAGTCCAAATCGTCCGATAAACCTTCTAAAAACATTGATGGGTCAAAATCCACGTCTGTTCGTCATGCAGCTTCTTTTTACTTTTTAATATGTTGGTGTGTTGATCGTACAGCCTGTAGCAAGATCAGACGAAGGGTGCACAATATAAGATGAATTCTTTGTCATCGAGACATCAGTGGGGACAGTATCAATATTGCAAACAATGTTTGTTTTTTTTTACCTACAATTTGAGGGAAATGTAATGCGATATAGCCAGAGAGTGACATTCTGTCTGCTGCAGTTCTATTCTCTATGCTTTCAGACCTATCAGTGCTGTTTTCTTCTTTTTTTATGCTTCATAAACTAGCTTTTATGTGCCAAGTCGAAATGTGTTATAGGTGTCTATCAACTGAAATTAGATGTTGTTTTTGTTTTTTTTAAGTTTGGCAAAACTCTTAAGACCTAGTGCGCTTTTCGAAGTTAAGCATTAAATGTCCCCATGCTGGGAAAAAATGCAGGAACTAATGGAAATCTGCTTTAGGTTTCTCTAAGGACTTTTTCTTTTTTTTTTTTTTTTCTACAAAGGAATGTTGCATTAGCTTCATGATTTCTACTACAAAAAAGGAATGCCTCTGACATGTTCTGGGTAAGTCGGCTTGTTTTGGCGTCCTTTTTATTGCCAACTATGATTTTTATTAGAAATAAACAATCTAATGCACATGAGCGCATTGACATGTTTCTTTGTGGAGCACCCAAGACAACCAAGGTATTTTTCTCTTTCCAAGTGTGAGCCTGGGGAAGTGCATCGTCCTGTTAAAGTGGGTGGTTTAGCAGGTTGAGCAGACCTCAAAGTGCTAACTTGTACCATATAATAGTTTTTGTCTGCGTTCCTGTTGTGTCCATCGCTACGCAAACGTAATAAAACTGGATGATCCGTGTGTAGGAGGAACACCACAATCACTTAGATTGGTCCATTTTCTCTCATCAATCCGCCTTGACGAGTTCATCTCTTTGTGTGCATGTTAGGCGTACCATTAAAAGTACAGTTGTGGCTGTAGGGCTAAAGGCACACCCACACTAATGGAGTATTTTGTAGGAAGTGGTGGCGATCCCATTCTGCTGTTGTACAGTTTCTCTCCTCTCGTGTGTCTCTCTCTCTCTCTCTCTGCGCCAGCCAGCTCCACATGGCACTCCCACTTTGTGTCTCTCCAGCTCCCACTCGCACACAGCTCACGCAGCTGAGCTTTGTGTGTGGTCCTTTGACGTGAGAACAAAAGCTCAGCAGTGTTTGATGCTGTCAAAATGTACGAGAGGCTGCTGCACGGGCATTTACTGTATGAGCTGGAAATGGGAAGACCCTGTTTGTATAGCTGCGAGGCGTTGAAACCAGTTTCCTCTTTCCTGTTTGATTAGGTTTTGTCATAATAACAATCATAATATACGCGGACAAAACGGTTTTGTTCTGGTTAAATGATGAAAAAAAAAAAAGAAACATGGTTCTTGTTGAGACTTATCACACATTTCACTGCATGTCAGCCTGTATTATTAGAGCCTGGTGCTGCTGTTGATGAGTTCAAAGTTTCACTGAAAATATTCCCATCATGTAACCTTGTGGGCAGAGCTGCGTTTGATTGTTTACACGAGCATGTGTTCACTTTTTTTTTTTTTTTATGTGAACTTCAAACTTTAAATAAACACTTTTTATATCTTCAAGCTGAGAAAACTGAAATTTGGACTGTTGGCTGCAAATATTTGTCTTTGTGGGGACGTGGGATTGAACATTGCTCTTGATTCCCTAACCCTTTTCCGTTTAAGAACAGGCAGTCCAACACTTTATTAATGTTAATCTGGTCAGTGCCATTTTTGCATATTTTGGCAGAATCATAAACGGCAAATTTACGTCGCAGGATCGCAGTATATGGTACCAATATCACAAAGTACTGCCTAGATTGCAATAAATAATGCCTAATAATATAAGTAAGGAGACCAGCAGTTGCAGTTAAAGTTTTTTTGTCACTTCTCACTTTTAGTCATATTCCATAAATTAGAATATAATTGTAAAGTTAATTCATCTCAGTAGCTGTATTTATTCAGTGAAACACATCATGTGGATTAATTGCAAACATACTAATCATACCAAGCCTTTATTTGTGTTTATTGTAAAATTTTCCACTTGAAAACGCTATTTAAGATTGGGATATATTACATCAAACTAATGTGAGCTTAATGTAAAGTATTTTTAATATCTGTATAAAAGTTGTTGCTTTTTTTTTTTTTATAAGATACTAAACGAGCCTCAGCGGAACACATATTCTGATGTATTAAATATAACTGTATTTAAACCTGAGTGGTGATATTATGAGCTGATGAACTGGAACAGGGTCAGGGTTTTTTTTTTTTTATCAAAGAGGAACACCAGCCTTGTAAAAGCAGATGCCATAAAGCAGTATATCTTTATGAACTCGCAGAGGTTTCTGATCAATAAAGCAAGAAAACAAGAACGACAAAAATAATATGAATGCTTCATTGTGAAATTAGCCATAATAAAATATGTTTTGTGTACGTCAAGAGCACAGGGATGAATAATTGGCCCATGATGGTCCAATTTTTGATTTAACAGTAGCGGTGAAGGTCATATTGGATTGATAGTAATGACTGATGTTTATGACCTTTATAGGCACTCTTAGACGCTGTCCACCTTTTTGCAATCTTTCTTTTTTTTTCTTTTTTTTTACGTTAGACCCTTAAATAACAGAATAATTGTCACTTAGCCATCAGGCGTGTGATTTCATGACGCAACCTTTTGTAAACATCGTGTTCCATGGGACTATTTAGAGATTATTTGTTTACAATTTTGCAAGGGAAAGTTGAATGCTAAGTATGTTTTCAGGATGTCCTTTTTTTCTAAAAACAATGGCTATTTTCCGTGTCTGCTTGAATTGCACAATAGAAACCACCTGCATCTGTCTGATCTAGCACGTCTCAACCTTCCTGCTAAGATCTAAAAGAGCTAAACAACTAACATTACAGCTTACCCCCTTGAACTGTCGCGCTTCCTCTAGACTTTGAAACAGTCAGCAACCGCCACATAGATGAAACACAGTCTCATCTTATGTTTTTATGCATTTTGCTGGAGTACATGCTGTCCCCTCCTTTAGTATTGGTAATAAAATTGCTTTATTCCGTTTCCAAGTAACTGTTAAAAGCTTCATAAAACCTACATAAAAAAACAAAACAAATCTAAACTTGCCTTTTAAATGCTCTTTTGTGGGAACTCACTGTTACATTTTGCTTTTGTAGTAGATTTGTCTTGAATCGCACTTTATTATCTGTTGAAAAGCTGTCTCCTTTCCTCCGCTCATTTGTCTTAAAAGGCGTCGTGGAAGGTGACCTGGCAGCGGTGGAAGCTTACAAGACGTCCGGAGGGGACATAGCGAGGCAGCTGACGTCAAACGAAGTGCGGCTCTTAAACAGACCCTCGGCTTTCGACGACGGCTTCACGCTGGTTCACCTGGCCATCCGCTTCCAGAGGCAGGACATGCTGGCAGTCCTGCTCACAGAGGTCAGTCGAGAAGCGAGGCGGTTTTACTTTTTAGCTGCCGTGTGCTGGTTTTTGAGTTGCGTTTGACTGTAACCAAGCAGCCATTTTAGGTCAAGGGGAAAGGTGTGGTCAGCGTGTACAGGAGGGTGATTGACAATGCTAAGACACTCCTCTTTGCCCTGATTGGTTGTTTGCTATCGGGTGTATTTCTGCAGATGGTAATAGGACCACAGGGAGGAGCTTGCTTTTTTTCTCTCCACAGATTCTCATATTATTATTTTCATTACATTGTTAGGATAATGACATATCCTAAAATATGTTAAAAAAACAAAACAAAAAAAAAACATATTATTCATAAAAGTTGCATACTATAGCTTTAAGGCTTGATATAGATCTTTCCTACATATGCTTGTAGAGGTAATTTTACATTTACATCTTAAATACCCAGTAAAACATAATAAATAAATTAGTGAAATACACAATTGTTTTATTTACAAATAACTTGGCGATCACATAGATTTTATTACACAGGAAGACAGTTTTTTTATGTGTTAATATATATTAGAAGACAAAAAACTGACTCCATAAGAGTCAGAGGAGCTCTGATTAAACCACTTCTCTTGAATTATGCTTTGATTATTGCGGTACTTGCATCCAGTGTTGTTTACAACTGCAAACAATCACTCTCTATAAAAGCAATAAGGCCCACTTGTATTATTCATTATGATGATCATTCCACAATTACCACTATACTTTTATGTTGTTGGTGTTTTACAATGGATTTTTTTAAGACACAGTACTGCTTTTCAGTCTGTGCATCAACATCTTGCGTGAGCATTTCCCCGCCGGCCGTAGACATGCGCTGCGGTTGAGCTGCAGTTTGCCTGCTGTCAGTGATTCCAGATTATCTGTATACACACTTCTCCGGGGGAGGGGCAGTGAGTAACCACCGGATCACTTTCCTAAAATGCTTCAAAGCTGACGGCAGCCTATATGCACACCACAGACGGGTCTGCTCTTTTTCCCGCCCTAGCAGCGGCACAGCTCTGACAGGTTCAAGCTAAGTTAGCTCAAATGACAGCGTCTGCTGAGCTGTTGTTGTGAACATTCAAAAGCTTTTGGTCCCAAACTTCAAAAGCAGAACAAATGAAACTATTTGGCGGTGTGTTTTTGGATCAACACATTTCATACTTTTGCCCCTAAAAAACGTATTCCTATGTCTCTTTTTGCTTTTTATTGTTAGTATTTAAATTAGTTTAGTCCTTACAATTACCTTTCATCGTCTTTTTATCATAACCAAACAGTGGCTGGTTATCAGTATAAAGGCATATCCAGGTTTTTATCATTCATACCAATAGTTTAAACTCTTTTTAATAAGATGCCAGAAGAAGTGAAGTTTTCCCTGACTGTGTGGAGCATGGAGTGGCGCGGTGCCGCCCTTCTTCTGCTGTGCCTTGTGAGTCAGATGGCTGAAAAACATCTGCGACATTTTGCCTCATTTTAAAAGAACTTGAGACAAAAAAAAAAGAAGAGAAAAATTCACATGTAAATACTTCTGGGTGCAAAAAAACACAGACGGTTATGGTGTTAAAGTGAATCAACAAGGTAGTTACACAAGGTAGGAATGACACCCATCATGCTTATTAAGTTAACTCTGTTTCCAAACAACTCACATGTTGACATCCTTTGGTCGGGATATTTGGAAGGTTGAGTGAAAAAGACCCAGACAGAGTGACATATGGATTTAACAGCCCCTTTAGTGGCTTTAACAACCCGCTTATTGTAATTGTTCTGGGGAAAACTTGTAAACCTTATTTGTTGCCCACGTTCAGAACTGAAAAAGCTTTTGGAAGAAGATGTGAAACGTCTTAAAGGAACAGGAGAAGAATCCAGTTTGAGTGTTGGGTAGCAGACAAACAATTTTTAACTTTTGTTATTTCCTTTTTATCAGTAAACAATAATTAAAATAGAAGGATAACATTGTAGTTTAATAGTAATTGTTTTATTTTAGAAGCGGAAGGACTAATTGTTGCTTTTCTATTTGAAATTAAAGGAACTTTATCATTTTTAGTCTTTTTTTTTTCCTTTTGAGATACTACAATGTATCATGCTGTAAGAATCTCATACCAACACACCCCTGGTGTTTATTATTATGATCTGATTTTACACGTCGGCCTTTGCAAAGTCACATGTGCTTTCGTCCCTCCAGCAGAAGCTTGTAACTTTTCATCTCAGATCTCAGTAAATCAAATCATTCATTTGTCAAAACTCGGATAAAGAAACGTGACCACCAACTATAGTGTGAAACGTTCAGGTCTCGCATATCCCTGAATAAAGCTTCCCTCTTCTTGTCAGGTGTCCCAGCAGGCGGCCAAGTGTATCCCGGCCATGGTGTGTCCCGAACTGACGGAGCAGATCCGCCGCGAGGTGGCGGCCTCTCTTCACCAGCGCAAGGGCGACTTCACCTGCTACTTCCTCACTGACCTGGTCACCTTTACCCTGCCTGCAGGTCAGCAGCCCGTCGGCTAGAAAACGAGCTCGAACGAACCGGCGGAGCAGAAACATTCCTGAATGTGATTACTGAAGCTGACGGGGTTCTGCGAATGCTCGGGGGGGAACTCTGCAGCTGCAGCAGCAGCACATTGTCTGGCCTTTTTCTCTCTGGCCTTCTAAGCGTGTATCAGAATGCGTGTTTTGTTTACTTGCCGGGTATGAAATGGCGTGTTGTTCCCATGCTGACGGGGGCATAATGCTCCGGTTGTCTTCATCTAACAGCCAGCACATGGAGGCTACCTCCGCCTCACGGTTTCAGCATTGTTCTTCCACAAAGACGATACCACCCCGCCAGCTGTTTATTTTTGAACCCATAAGAAAACTGCGTTTAGGATTACCGTGTGGCTGCTATTGTTCGTTCAAAACTAAAATTGTTTTGTTTTTTTGTTTGTTTTTAACCATGTGTTCAGGCGTGAAAGTGCCGACATTGGCTTCCAGTCATCAGAGAAACCTATTCTGCTCTGTTCTCTTCCAAACAAGCTGTGCATTCATTAATATCAGCTAGAGAACAAGCTTCTGTGTTCAGAGCAGCTCCTAGCTCTCTGGCCGCTGTACTATAAGTTGGCTTTAGGTGAAATAAGCCGGGATTTCACCGTGAGCTGATCAGACATTTGGGCACACTTGACGTCGAGACAAATGTCGGTCATTTTTGTCCGTTTGTAATTTTTTAAAAATTATTATTTATTTTTGACAGTTCTTTTGTCATCAAACAAGCAATTCTAGTGAATTTTATTACAGGGAACTGCTTTGTCTGCAACTCTGTAAAGGTTACAGTGCAAATATTACTGGACATGTATTATGTTACCAATAATGTTAACGTACAGCGTTGATCCTGGGTGGAGTACAGAAAATGTTGCATTTGAAGTTCCAGTTGAATTAAACTGTGCAATTAAACGAAGGAAAAAGTCCACAAGTAAAATATTGTTCGACTCAGCTAAATGTATTTTATTGTATTATCTCTGTTTTCCCTTCCAGATATTGAGGACTTGCCTCCTGCGGTTCAGGAGAAGCTCTTCGACGAGGTGCTGGACCGAGACGTCCAGAAAGGTGAATAATTTACTCCGTCAGCTCTGCGCCTTTTTTCGCTGAAGTGTCACCTATCTGACAACGGTCCGGTTGCTAGGCGAACGCACGGACTCCTTTCACAACCCGCGCACAGTAACAAAGAGGCTGCCCCCACGCCGGCAGTGTTGCATTACATGGATTTTCCCTCCCGCCAACTCTGTTTCTTAGTGGCCAGCTTGTTGCTCTGCCTCCCATCATGTGTACTGGTTTCACTCTGCGCTAATGAGCCCAATTGAGTTTCAGGGTTTTCTCTGATCCTCGTTTGGGTGAATGTTAAAGAGTTCAGCCTGGAGACATAGTAGCACGCTGAAAAAAAAAAAAAAAAAGAAGCTTTCACTATTTACTTAAATGCAAACGGTTGTGTGGGGCTTGTTAAATCACTTCACTATGGGAAATGTTAGGTCTTGTAGTAATTTTTTTCAGCCCCCCGCCACCCAAAAAAAAAAAGTGTGTTTGCTGGAGGATTGAAAGTAAACAGTAAAAGTAAACTAAAGAGTTAGCCAGGTTGACTTTGCTTTAAACCTGTTTACTTTTTCACGTGAACACGCATCTTTCACGTGGGTTCGGTTTTGTAGTAAAGATGCTGAGAGTGGCACTAATAACCGATGCCGTCTCCTTCTTGGTCAGAACTCGAAGAAGAGTCTCCCATCATCAACTGGTCTCTGGAGCTCGGAACGAGACTGGACAGCCGGCTCTATGCACTCTGGAACCGCACGGCGGGGGACTGCCTCCTCGACTCGGTGCTGCAGGCCACGTGGGGCATCTACGACAAGGACTCTGTGCTCCGCAAGACTCTTCACGACAGCTTGCACGACTGCTCACATTGGTGAGACCTGCAGCCTCAGCAGCAGTAGCACAAACGGCAGTGATGCGTAGCCTCCTCTTAAAACCGCCTTTGACCAGCGTGACTGATTCGACTCTTTTCAGGAGGCTGAATGAAGCTCTGACTGTTAGAGTTGTGTTTTAACCAGAGGACTGAAGGATTTAGAGCGAAGTGTGCAGAGATTGAAATATTTTTGGCTGATTACCAATCTGATTCCGAATTTGAGCGATTGAGTTATTTTTTTATTTTTTTTTTTCACTACTGATGTCGTGTGTTAATGTTCTAACCTTATTTCACTGAAAAACACTGAAAAATATCTGTGAAACAATCAAAAACTTGTTCTAGCTGCACATGAGGTACCGCTCCAAAATATAAATGAAAAAGTTCAGAACATTTCTGTCCAAAATACTGGATTAACTAAAGTAAAAAAAAAAGTCAGTTTCTTTAGTCTTTGCTTTTTAAAAAAAATCTTGCACAGCAGGTTAGACTACAAGAATGTTTTGAGCCTCTTACCAAAAATAAAGTGCACAGCAATATTTTGCCTTCACAACATCACAAGGTTTGAGGTCAACCGAGGACAAACTGACAAAACAACTTAAACCACCAATAAAATTTCATGTGTTCTGGTTTTTCTCGTAGTGCAAAAAAAAAAAAAAAACCCCAAACACAGAAGCTTTGTGTCTAAATATAAATGAGATTGATCTCACAATGCAGGTCACTTAAAATTAAAGATCGATACACTCCTACGGTCATGTCCAACACTACGATTGTTCCAAGACACAAATTTTAACTACATACGTTTCCCAGCGAATAAAAATAGACCTGCTTGTTTAAAGTTGGAGGCACGTTGTCCCGGTCTTGACATTTAGTCCCTAATTTCTAACCGAGTCGATCGTCACGGGCGTTTGTCGTCACGGACTCCCAAATTTGATAACGCGTAAAGATCGATCCGGTCAAAACCTGACCGTCATAAAGCTCGAAGTCTGCTAAACTCTCATCCCGGTGATGATGCGACTCTATGTTTTTTATATGACTCAGTGATTGTTGGGCTAGTAAAATATTTCAGGCAGTCCAACTTACTGATGTGCAGACAAAACTGACAGAAAAGGTTCAGACAGGAAACCACAGCAGTCAACACAGCCCCTCTCTATTCTTTACTGCCTATTTGATTTGTAAAATGTAAAACATGTGATTGTTGGGGAAAAACTAACATTTTAGATGAACAGCATAAAGTGCTAGAAATGAGACGGTAGTTGAGTTTCCGTTACAAATGTACCCAAAATGTTTTTCATATTACTCATGATTTAATCTTTTTAACTCGGGATGTTTCTATTTTTCTAGTTTCGTTCCTGCGATCTTTTATTTTTTTTTTGCCTTTTTTAAATTCCTATACGAAGTGAAAAGAAATGATTTCTTATTTCAAAAGTTTAACCGAAAATATTTTCGCCATGCAGCATTCTGCGTGCAGTGAAGGCTTCAGATATTTGCAGTAATGCGAGCCTCATAATGGAGCGCGAGTAAGTAGAAGAAAAATGGAAACCACGTTTTCTCGCGCACTGTCAAACTCCGCTCAGAACTCATGCCCACAATAAAAAGACAGCAGCCTTTGTTTGTGGGAGAGCAGTCAGACGTAAATAAAGATGAGCCTCGTTTGAGTCACGTCTGCTTGGAAGGAGCTGCAGCTTTCCTAAAACTCCGAGCAAGACTAACGACGACGACCACATCCCCATCTGTCGGTGCACACGTTTGAAACAATGCAGCAGTGTAAGCCGTTTGTGCGTCTTGCAGGTTTTACAGCCGCTGGAAGGAGTGGGAGTCGTGGTATTCCCAGAGTTTCGGCTTGCACTTCTCCCTCCGAGAGGAGCAGTGGCAGGAGGACTGGGCCTTCATCCTGTCGCTCGCCAGCCAGGTAGACACGCACGAAAGCAAACGCCGACGTCTTAAGGTGGAGGACAGGAGGTTGTTGTGTTTAAGGCACGGTCCGCTGATGATGCATCAATTATGCAAGAAGGTTTCTTGCTTTTCGCCACCGTAAACATTCTCCGTAACGTCCTGGGAAAGTGCCTTCTGTCTGTCATCAGCACTCTGCTGAATGACCTCACCAACGAGGCATTTGGGTGGGATGCTTTATATCTGGGTGTGAAAGCTTAGTAATCGTTTGCTTTGTTTGTTTGTTGTTGTTTTTTTGTTTTTTTTATACAATTGGCAGCATAAAAAAAGGGTTTCCTTTTTTATGTTTTTCCTTACTTTCCTCCTAGTTTTTTTTCTTAAAAGTTTACCGTGTCTTTTACTTTTGTTCCACAGCCAGGATCCAGCTTGGAGCAGACCCACATTTTTGTTCTTGCACACATACTTCGTAGGCCAATCATCGTGTACGGAGTGAAGTATTACAAAAGCTTCCGAGGCGAAACATTGGGCTACACTCGTTTCCAAGGTGAGCAATCAGTTCTGTCTGAGCCGATGTTTTCCTCTAAAATTGATGTTTTTTATTTTTTTTGTTTGTTTGTTTTTTTTTTTTTTTTTTTTTACGACGAGCCTTTCCCGTGATTGTGGAGGAAGTAGACTTTTATTTTGAAACATCCGCAGCCTACATGTGTCCGCATAGCTCAGATGCTTGACAAAACTCAGCCTACTCCAGTGCCATTCATTTGTTGTTTGTTTTTTGTTTTTGGTCTGTTTGGTTCAAAACTAGAAAAAGTGTCGGTGTAGGAGGAGCAAAAATACAACAAGGCAAGTCAATTTCCCACGTGGAAACGATCAGGATAAGAAATCAGAGCCACATGTGAACATGAAGTCTACTTCCACAACCAACTCTAAGACAGTCTGGATTCAATTTGCTCTTTCTGTTGCTGTGCTGGACTTGATGAAAATCCTCAATGGGAGCCAAGTACTTGTGGTAAAAAAGCCTCCCTGATGGACCAGTGATTTACAGTTGCCAGGAGCCAGAGTAAAGCACAGAGCGACTCGGCTCTTATGTGGATGCCTTAAAAGAGCGTTGATCAAAAACATTCTACTTATTTGGAGAGTTGCTGAGCAAAACTCAGATTCATTATCAGACGTTTAGGAGTTACAAAAGCAGAGATGGTTTTCCAACTATAGAGGCTTATTCCAGCAAATCTAATCAACTCTGGGATACTTGCATCTCTGTTTTCAGAACGCCAGAGTGTTGCAAAATCTTGCCAAGCCTATTTAGTTGTGATTTATGAGTTGCGTACCGCATCTTATAAATCCTCAAGTTTCCAGACAGAAACCTTAGGACCAAGTCTGGATGGGCTGAAACAACCCAAGTGATTAGAAACATCCCATAATCCATTTGTCATCTGTACAAAAGACCATCAGAACTATAATTCTGCTTGGGCGCTCGATTATCACATCAAAATATCACAGCGTGATGCAGATAAACAGGCCATAGAATGACAGTAACGTAGGATAACGCTGTTGTTTTCTGCACATCATACACTAGGAGAAAAGTGCAGTTAAATACAGTCATGGATAAAACTGACTGCGTTCGAACGGAAAACATATTCATACTGCTTGAACTTCTTCATGTTGTGTTCATATATTTTGTTTGTATTTTTAGATGATTGTTGCCATGTTCCCCATGGCAACAATCATTAACAACCCGAGCTGGTTCAGTTACTCTTGGGATCGTTCACGTTTGACATGTGGACTGATGTCTGTGAAGGGCAACATGGAGCCCTGTGTCAGTCAGGCTGAATGTGTTGAGACTTAAGTGTTTCTTAGTTGTTGTTCATCCTTGTTGCTGCACTATGGTGGAATTTATACAGTGTAGAGATGCTATTACAGCCATTTCCAGATTAATTGGCAAAAAGTTATCCAATCTTCTTAGCACATTTAGTGCTTTCTGTCCTTAATTTTCTTTGTTAAAATCTGAGCTGTGGAAGCTCTTAGGGGTGTACTTATCATTTATCCCTTCAACTGAATTTATTATTCTTTTTGATAGCGGTTAGACAGTAAAGTAGGTAACGAGAGAGGAGGAGGACATGTGGCAAAGGTCATCAGGCGGGACTTGAACCTGTGACCTCCACTAAGGCCTCTGTACGTGGGCTGTGCTTAACCCCTGCACCACCACAGCACCCCATTTTTAGGATTTTTAAAAAATGATATTAATCTTAACTGTCGTCATTACAAAATACCAAACACAACTCACAGCTGAATGTGACGCAAAAACACAATAAGAACTTCATCGTTTATTTATGTTTACTTTGTGTGTGTGTGTGTGTGTGTGTGTGTGTGTGTGTGTTAGCTTCTGATGTAAAACGGAGCGCGTGTAAACAATGTTTCAGCTCAGAACCAAGGTAGAAATTTGTTCTGCTCCAGGATTCAACTACACATTATAGAAGTTGTTGGTATAGTTTGTTTTTTTTTATAACTGCTTTATTTCTCCTTTCAATTAATTGCATTCAAATTGTACGTCAAATGTTGAAACCTCTTAATTGTCATTGATTTTAGCAGTTCATATTTTTACAAAGGCTGATGTAAATATAGCACCCTTTGTGTTTGCCCCTCCCCGTCCGTCCCAGGTGTGTACTTGCCCCTTTTGTGGGAGCAGAGTTTCTGCTGGAAGAGCCCCATCGCTCTGGGTTACACGCGAGGCCATTTCTCAGCACTGGTCGCCATGGAGAACGACGGCTTTGACAATCGCGGCGCAGGCGCCAACCTCAACACAGACGATGACGAGACGGTCACGTTCCTGCCCCTGGTCGACAGCGAGAGGAAGCTGCTTCACATCCACTTCCTGTCGGCACAAGAAGTAAGGAGTTCGACTAGTTTTACCTCTTGGTGCGTTTGTTCCATTGTGGGAAAATGCTTTCATCTAAGCGACTCCATTGTGTGGATTTAAACTCGCTGTCCATATGTTTCGTAGCGTTACATATTTCACATCTTAAATGTGCACTTCTGCGAAGCACAGTTGCGCGCATTGAGACTCTGCTGCTTTCTTTCAGATGGGGAACGAAGAGCAACAGGAGAAGCTCCTTCGAGAGTGGTTGGACTGCTGCGTGACAGAAGGCGGCATTCTGGTGGCGCTGCAGAAAAGCTCCCGCCGCCGCAACCACCCGCTCGTCACTCAGATGGTGGAGAAGTGGCTGGACGGCTACAGGCAGATCCGGCCCTGCGCCTCGCTGTCGGACGGCGAGGAGGAGGAGGAGGACGACGACGAGTGACTGAACTGAAGCGGAAGGAGGGAGCGGGTCTGGAGGAGGCAGGACTCCTCCCTCCTCTCTATTTATTTTTATTTCACCTTTCATTTTTTTGGTTTTATTTTTGATTTTCCTTTGTTTTTTAATTTTTTTTTTCGACACGGACAAACTGTGAAAGCCTCCAGCAGAGGACAGGGAACCACAACCCTCTCTCTTCCCGTTCCCCCCCTGTTCCCCGATTTCAACCTTTCACACCTCCAAAGCTACAGAAGACATGGCTGCTCTTCTGGTACACACAGCCACTCGGACGCAATTCTTACAGAAACACTTTGAAACCAACTCCAGACTGACAGAGATGTGGAGAGTTAGAGGATCAGGAATGCAGAAGACCCTTTGTTTCAAATGTAAAAGAAGAAAAGAAACTAATCTTTATCCATAGATGTAAATGCATGTGGTTGTTTAAAAAAACAAAACAAAACAAAAAAAAGCTAAAGGAAATATACCAGCATTTATTTAAGGTAACACTTTATAACTATTCAGCGTGGGCACTGACAAAAGCACACTTCCAACCTGATCTTTTCGACGTGTTGTACAGGAGTTTGGCTTGTTAAGCTTTTTTTTTTTTTTCCTGTGTGTTTGAACTGACAAGGACAAAGCCAATAAATATAATCTTCAGAAAACCAGAGATTATATCGTAATAAACGACTTATTATATACCCTTATTATAAGCAATGCACCTTTATGGAAACGTTTCTAATTAATTATCATTGCTTGAAATAAGATATTTTATGAAGGGAGATTTGCCCTCTAAGGTTTAGCACATTAACATAACATGTTTGGATATTTGGTTTACTTTTTACAGACTGATTGAACTGAGAAGTCGTGTGTGTGTGTGTGTGTGTGTGTGTGTGTGTGTGTGTGTGCTTGAATTTATTCTACATATTTATTGTTTGGAAACTTCTTTGAGCTAATAAGAGCTTTATGTATATTTTTCTCCAGTTTTTATTTCTTTTCTTTTATTTTTTGGTGAATTTTATTAATTATTCTCTCAATCTCGATGAAGACACTTTTGCACAGAAACACTGTTGCTGTAAAGGAGAGAACCAATCTTGACAGTGGGAAGTTTACTTACATCGTTGCATGGGATTTAGTACCTCATCTGAATGCTTAAATTCTGGTGCTTTTTGTTTTCGTTTGTGTCGTTTCCTGGACAGATGAGACGCGTTCAGTGTTATAACTCTCTCTCTCTCTCTCTCTCTCGTTTCCGTTTGTTCCCTTCAACGATTGGTTGTCCGGCTCACACATGATGGTACATGTCTGTCCACCTTCTCTGTAAAGTCTGCTTGTCGACCCCACCCCGTCCGCGCCATTTGTTGTGAGAGATTGCAACATCTACAACCAAAGCTGACATAAAAGAAGAAGAAGAAGAAAAGAATAAGTTGTTAATCCCTTAATTTTTTTGCTGTGAATGTTTGCATTGCTTCCCCCCCTCCTGCCACTGCGTACTGTAACCTCCTTCGTGTTTCATTCATGTCATACATGTTTTGAACATCACCTATGTGTTGCTTTGTATCTATACAATAGTTGAAGTTGTAACTATGATGGTTTGTGGATTTTAGGCCTGACTTCACTAAGCGGAGTGTAATGCAAAGAAAAGGCAAAATATGGAGAAAAAAACAACAACAAATAAAACCTTTTTGAATGTTGAGACTGAATTTCTCTCCGTTTGAAATTCTACGGCTTGAAAAGTGGCTGGTTTCACCGCTCTCTCTTCTCTCATGTGGGGGATCTAGAGTACATCCGGAAAGCATTCTGAGCTCTTCCCTTTTTCCAGTTTTCATATAAAACTCATTCTGTAACAAGCATTCAATCATTTCAATTAGAAAAAAGAAAAGTGTTTTTTTTGTCTCTGACATTAAATCGGACTACACTTTTCCTGTTTCAAAACGATTAAAAATTTTTTTTTTAGTTATTTCAGGTTTATAAGTTTACAGACAAAGATTGCTCCTCAATAATTTGAAAGAGTTCAGATGATGAGCTCACGCTTCAGGCAACTCGCAACACGAGTTACACAGAGCAACGTTCGCGGATATAATTTGAGACTACGTCTCAAACGCACTGCTTCCTTGTGCAGCATTGTTTGCGTCGGACAGGAATGAGTTTGGATGCCAAATATTTAAATCAAGTGTAGAACAAAAGCAAAAGACTTTGTGAAGATGGTAAGGGCGTCGTTCGCCACCTAGAAGCCGTCCCAACAAGATTCCACAGCCCGCTGCTGGTAGCGCAGCACAGTGGAAGGAGATTGAGAACGACAGCAACTCGACAGCAAAGTCACCTAAAACCTCAGAGCAGAGTCGGCGGATGCTGGGCTGCGTTGTGTCCAGAGGTCGCCAACCTTCTGCAGAGTTAAAGCTACTGACTTCATGTAAAATTCAGATGAGCTGGTGGCCTAGGAGTTGAGGTTTTCTGTAAATGGACTTCTATTTTTTAGCAGTCTGCATGCAAGGCTGACATCATCAAGGTGTTGGAGGCAATGGTATAAAGCATTATTTCTCAACGCTGGTCCTCAGAGCCCACTGTACCGCATGTTTAACGTGTTTCCTTGCTGCCACACACCTGACTTAAATAAACTGGTGATTAAAAGGCTTCTGCACCACTTGACGGTGTACTGAGAAGGAAATACCTAGAGGACCGGGGTTGGGAATCATTGGCGTTGCTTCATGATCCCATCAAGAGTGAACAATTTCATGACCCCCAAGTTTGTGTGAACAGTTTAGGGATGGTCGCCTTCCTGTTCCTACATCCAAAACACATGGATGACAGAGTTTGGTGTTTGAAAGCTTGACTGGACTGAACCCAATAGTTTGGACTCGTCCCACAACGTTGTCTGACCTCACAATCGTGCTTCCAAAACACGATTGTGTTAACATTTTGTCAAAAATGTCCACAAAAACTCTCCGAGACACTTTGGAAAGCCTTTAAAGAAGACTTCAAACTGTTAAGAAGCAGCTGAGTGACTTGTTTTGGTAAGATACTGTAATGTACCACTATGAATTTTAAATATGTCATTTATAACAGCAGTCGTTCGCAAACTCATCTGCAATGCCAACTTCTGACCACTAGAGGGCTTAAAGAAATCTTCATCTATAGAAGAACATAATGCTACTTTAATAAACCAGACAAAATAAGATTGATGTGCTACAAATACATTACTCTGAGAAATTCATTGCTTTATGAATTCAGGAAAAATATTTTTGGGGATCATGATTTAATGTCAACAAGTTAAAACATATTTTTTATTCAGCTGTAAAGTTTTCCAGACACAAGCAAATGGTAAGAAAAAAAATATAAAATGTGACGGATAGGTGTGTTTGGATCTCACTTGAATAAAACTTCATAACATTTAAAGTACCTTTTGAATCATGGTGCAAAGGAAAATAATAATGGCCAATCGTTAAATCAGAACAGTAAGTTTTATTTATTGGTTCCAGCTGCACTGTATGCTATATGTTCACCTTATACAAGAAACAAATACAAATACTCACACTAAAAACCAAACAATCTGCTAGCAGCCACGTCTTGCTAAAGTCCTGGTGTTGAGGGGATGGATGGATGGATAGATGGATGGATGGATGGATGGATGGATGGATAGATGGATGGATGTGGCCGCTGCTTGTTCACAGAGCCTCCAGGAACCCCATCTGGCTATCGTCACAGCAGGGAAAACAAAGGCGGAACTATGAGAGGGAGCGAGCGAGAGCGAGGTCGGCCACATCAGGCTACATTTATATGAACATTTAACAAGGCAATACAAATCTAACAGGAGGGAAAACCTTCCAACATCAAAAAAGAAAAAAAAAAATGTACATTTGATTTATAAAAAAAAAAAACCCACAACGGAGAAAGAAAAGCAGTAATCCAGAGTTTCATCCTGTTCTGTTCAGATTTGATGTTTTTGTTTTTCCTGAGTTAAGACATTTCCCGTTTCGATTCCCCCTCCCCACCCCGACGCATTCGTATCTCGCAAGTGTGTTGCTGCCATGCAAATCGGGTCCTTTGGATGCCAACAGACAATATTGTGTTCATAACAAGCAAACATCCAAGGTACTTTGAAAGATTACATTTCAATTTAATGCTATTTTTCAATTGTTTGTATGTCTTTCTTCCCTTTTTTTTTTTTTTTTGGTTTAAAGGGGTCATTCCTACCTCACAAATCCAAATGTTGTTCCACATCTACTTTCTTCTAACTTTTCTTTACATTCTGGGGGCACAACACTTCACAAACCGAGACAGGCGAAACTAGAGTTTAGATTGAAGGAACTCCTGATCTTTCCTGTCTGTAAACCCTCGAGTTTTTCACAGACTGAATAACAGAAAAAAAAAAAAAAAAAAAAAAAAAAAAACCAAAAACCGATTTTCAACAAAAACACAGGAAAAAAAAAATTCAAAATGGGGAAAAAAAAAA